TCAACACTACCTAAACAGCCTTCAGATTTCATGCACTACCCATCAATAGTCCAACAGTCATCTCTGGAGAAACAGTAGTGTCAATACTCAAATCTAGAACGCATCACACGTAGTTCAGAACAGCCAAAACAGTCTTTAAAAAGAATGAAGTAGTATTCACACATCCCAATCTCAAAACATACTATAAAATTAAATAGTCAAAACATCCTGTGCTGGTCTAACAGACAGATAGACCAATGGGGTAGATTAAGAGTCCAGAAATAAAGCTCTATATTTAAGGTCAATCCATTTGTGACAAAATTGCTAACTAAGTCCATCCAATGAGGAAAGCGTAGTCCCTTCCTAAATGTTGTTAAGTGGTGCTGAGTCGGTTCCAACTCACAGGAACCTCAGACAGGATTTCTAAGGAGTAGCTGGTGGGTTTCAATTGCCAACACTGAGAGTTGTAGTCCACTGCTTAGCCTATAGCACCTCAGCAAGACTTTAATAAACAGTGCCAGAAAGAATGGATTTTCACAAACAAAACAATGAGCCTAGTCCGTATCTCATCACACATGAAAACAAGCTAAAATAGGCCCGAGATCTAAATGGAAGAACTAAAACCATACCATCCTTACAGTAAACACAAGGAGGATGCCTTGACACCTATATTTTAACAACGAATTCTACCCACACTGAAAGCATAAGCAACAAGACACAAATGAATAGGACTTCAGCAAAATGAAAAACTTGTTCATCAAAGGCCGTATCAGCCAATTGTGTTGTTATTAAATGCCACTGAGTCAGTTCCGACTCCTGGCGACCCTGAACAGGGTTTCTGAGGAGCGGCTGGTGGGTCTGAACGGCCACCCTTGCAGTTAGCAGTCCAGAGCTGATCCCACAGTTCCACCCCAGTACTCAGTCAAGTCGGTGAGAGTTAAACGCCAGCTCTGTATATTGGCCCCAGGTGGTTTACTCCTTCACAGGAAACAGATGCCTGTTAGCCTCAGGGCCCACCTGGCTCCAAACTCAAATTCACACACTCAGTTTTAAACTGAGCCCTAGCATGCAAATTTCTGGTCACTTAGGACCTGTCTGCTTTACATACTCCAGGAAACTGCAACCAACACCTGCTGGCCCCAGATAAGATCAACCCTGCAGTTATAAACCCTGAGGTTATTTCACAGAAGCGCAGTGGTAAACTGCAGGATAAGCACTGGACTGCTAAGTCCAAGGTCGGTAGTTCAAACCCATCAGCCGCTCCTGGGGACAAAGATGAGGCTTTCTGCTCCAGTAAGATGGACAGTCTTGGTCGATGCGAGTGGAAGCGACTCGGTGGCACTGTGTTGGGTCTGGGGGGCTGTGAAGATCCTCAGATGCTGCTGGGGGGTGCACAACTCTCCTACCTCCCCCTCCTCATGCCTTTGTCCCCTTCTGGGGGTTCCCTAACTGCTTTCCCATGGCAGTTCTCCTGTTCTGGTGACCGGGGTGCGCTCCCATAAATAGGTGGCTATGCAACTCTGTCTCCTGACCTCTGGCCCAAGCTCCTTTTCTTGACGAGACCCAAATATCCTCAAACTTAATACAACTACTGTTGCTGTTAAGTGCCATCTAGTCGTTCCGACCCATAGCGATCCTGTATAGGGTTTCTGAGGAGCAGTTGGTGAGCTGCAAATGCCAACTTTGCGGATCAAACCGACTTTGCAGTCCAGTGCAGTAACCCACAGCGCCGCACCAGGACTCCACTACAATTACTGGGGGCTTCAGAAAATTCGTCCCAGTATCACCTAATTCCAGTTTTCCATGAATTTTTTGAAGCCCCCTCATATATCTAAGAAGAGTTTAGTATCTAGAATATATGAAGGAAGGAACTCCTACAACTTAACAATGGAAACACAAAACAACCTAATCAAAAAGTAGACAAAGAACTTGAATAGACATTTCAGCAAAAGAAAAAAAGTTAACAGACGGCCAACAAGCACATGACAGATGCTTCAAGTATTGAGTCGTCATTAAGTGCCGTAAATCAGTTTGCCTCACAGAGGCCCTGGACAGGGCTCTGAAGCAGGAATCTTTCCAAGAGCAGAAAGCCTCATCTTTCTCCTGCCGAGCAGCTGGTGGGCTTGAACCTACGGACTCTGCAATCCAGTGCTTATGCTGCAGAGCCTCTGCACTCCCTGCTTAGCCCTTGGTGGTGGGGGTTCTGGCTCACAGTGACCCTGTATAGGGTTTGCTTAGTGGTTGTTGGCCACTGAGTCATTTGCGACTCATAACGACCCTGGGTTTCCAAGGCTATAAATCTTTATAGGAGTAGAAAGCCTCATGTTTAGGTTCTGATCTTGTGATTAGCAGCCCAGCTCATAAGTCACTGTACTACCCGGGCTCCATGTATAGGGTTTTGTTGTTGCTGTTAAGTGCCATCAAGTTGGTTCCGGCCTATAGCGACCTGTATAGGATTTCCAAGGAGCCGGCTGATGGGTTTGAACCACCGACCTTGAGGCTCAAACTGACCTTAAGGTCCAGCGCCTTATCCTGCAGTGCCACACCAGGACTCCAGGATGTATAGGATTTACGAGGCTGTAAATCTTTACAGGAGCAGAAAACCTCATCTTTCTCCTGCAGCTGGTAGATTCAAACTGCCAACCTTGTGGCTTGTAGCCCCACTCCTAACCCAGTACAGTATCAGGGATCCTTAATTAGTCAGTACTGCTGTGGTTAACACCGCTGAGTCAGTTCCAACTCATAGCCACCATGCATAGGATTTCCAAGGAGTGGCTGCTGGGTTTGAATTGCCAAACTTGCAATTAGCAGTCCAGTGCTAATCCTCTAAGGTCACCCCTAATGGGTACCGCTTCACCCCACTAAGGTTAAACACAGCATTACCACATGACTCAGCAATTCTCCACCGAGGTCGAGACCTCAAAGAAACGAAAACAGGAAGGCAACCAGATAGCTGTACATCAATGTTCTCTGCAGCCGCATTCACAATAGCAACAAGGTAGAAACAAACCACAACACCCATCAACAGATGAGTGGATAAACTAGATGTGGCACATCTGATGGCGCTTCAAAATGTCTCTGGAGAAATTCCATTATGTTTTCACCCCATTTTCCAGCAATGGCGTACGAGCCCGCCATAAAGAGGAATGGCGCCCGGATGCCCCAGCACGGACCAAGTCTGGAATCAGCCTCTGAGTGCAGTCAGCCACAGGCAGACAGACAGACCAGTGTGCGGACTGAGCTAACCTGAGTAGGTGCAATGCTATGAACAAAGTAGATCAATGGTAACCAGCAAAAGGGACCCACGGCTTGGGGGCACTGAGCATCTAAAAAGAGCGAAGGGAAAATGTGGATACAGGCAATGGTGATGGCCAGACAGCCCGGACATGACTAATGTCACTGAATTGTACATTGTACAAAATACTGACATAACAAATGTTCTGTTACAGACATATATCATACAGGTCTGTTAGCCACAGTGAAAAGTGTTACTGAATTAAGGTGGATGGTAATAAGAGTTATACTTGCCTGGTCCAGCAATGGCTGACAACAAGGCCAGAAGCTGGTGCACCTGTCTTGGTGACAGGAAAAGATGAACAGAGTCTATCTGTCCGTCCACATCCAACTGTAACAACAACACAAGAACACAGGATTCAGGATGGTCAAGTTCAGTATCTTGAATGCACAGACAGACACACCCATTCTTGAGTCTTGAATTCTTTCACCTAGGATCCTCTCTACTAGTCCCCCAAAGGGGAAGATGAACGTACCGTCCTAAGGAGCAAACCTTTTTGTCCCGTTAGTCTTCAGAGTATTTGGGGAGGCCTCACAAGTCTCCCAGTCAGGGTATAAGGTGATGGTACACTAACAAGGAACCGTAAAGGTGGACATGGGCCATGAGTCAATCAAGCTGCACCCCTGTAACCGGCAGGAAGGACTGTCCGCAGCGGGTCTGATCTCCCAGCTCAGAGGAGAGAACCACAGTAGGAAGAGAGGTCAAACACACCTTCTCCTTTCAAACTCGAGATACAAAATCCCTCCACTCTTCCCGAGTCCCTGGGCACAAACTGACAGAGCGAGGCTCTGTGCTCTGTGCCGTACCCTGAGAAGCTGGCTCGGCCTGCCTCAGAATTACCCTCCGGTTTGCATTCTAATTGATGACCGTTCTGTCATTAAAAAAATTCAATTAGTGAAGCATGTTTATATTAGAAAGTGGCTTCTTCCCAAGAGTTCCTTCAATTCAAAAAAGCCAAATGAAACGAAGTTCCACAGGGACAAAGAGAAATCCCCACGAGCTAAGAATTTAATACATCCTGTACTCATCATCACCATCACCCTTTTATAGTGGGGGTTGCCAAGTTCATTAGACCCGGGGTCCTCCCTGACTGCTGGCATCTACTAAGGTTGAAGACAGGGAAATGTGTCTCCAACTGTACAGCAATATTGAAAGCACACTGCCCGACCTCATTAAACTGGGTGATCAAGAGCTGAGCTTACTTTATTTCTAATTTTCACAAAAATGTCTCCTCATAAGCACGTGCCTGGATTGGGCATACATGTGCTGGCGTATATAATACTTTCCTTTGCAAATAGAAAAGAACATAGCAACAAAGTACATTTCAGACTCATTGGGACATCCAAACCCAAAGGCAGTAGAGGCAGCTCCCCATTTCCACATGTAGCGCAGTCCTGAACCTACACGCTGAGAGGGAGCACAGGCAACATGAGACTGGGGCGCTCCTCCGAGGGAGTCCCACTGCAGAAACCTGGAGAGAAAACCCCAAGTCTTGCATCACACTCTGAGTCCACAGCTGAGGTTTCAGTCTACCGAACATGGGAAAGCAGCTAAACATGTGCTGCATTGAGGGCCCTGAGTTAATCCCTTCATTGTCTACACTGTAACAAGTTTATGACATCGATGGTTTTCTGCAAATGAAGCTCCAGTAGCGCACCGGGCTAAGCAATGGGCTGCTAACCACAGGTTGGCGGTTTGAACCCACCAGCTGCTCTACGGGAGAAGAAGAGGCGGTCTGTTGGCATAGACGCTGGCAGTGTGGGGAGCCCTGTAGAGCAGCCCACTCTGCCCTACAGGGTCGTTCCGAGTTGGAATGGACTTGACGGCAGTCAGTCCTGATTTGTTGTGTGTCAGGAAGGGCAGTGCCAGGAAGGGCAGCGGGTTAAGCGGTGAGCTGTCAAGGTCAGCGGTTTGAACTCCCAGCTCCTCCGTGGGAGAAAAATGAGACGGTCTGCTCTTATACAGGTTGGCAGTCGCAGAAACCCGACTGGGCAATTCAACTCTGTCCTATGGAGTCCTGGTGTGGCGCTGCAGGGTAAGCACTGAATTGCTATGCAAGGTCGGTGGTTCACACCTACCAGCCACTCCTCAGCAACCCTATACAGGGTCACTATGCGTCAGAACCAACTCTGCGGCTGTGGGTCTGGGTTTCGTTGGAGTTAGCACAAGGTTTGAAGCCTTGTCAATGGTTTAAAAGCTGCAGCGAGGGAAGTTACCATGATGGGGAGTGTGTTGTGAGCAGCCATTATTCCAGAGTGAGGGCAAATTCACAGAGGCTACAGGACAGGTCTGAGGAGCCTCACAGCGGGGCAGTCACGACCCACGCAGGGCCAGCAGGCCATGTGACTCTGAGCACCAGCGACTCATACAGGGCCTGGCCCACACTAGCCGCTCCAGCATACACAGCGAGGGAAATCTGGGAATAAACAGTCAACAAAGCCTGCTACCTCCTTCATTTGAGCAAATGGATCATGAGTTTTCAGTGCTAGGAAAGAGGTTAAGTGGCTCAATGAATGCCAGCTTACTAATTTTCCAATATGATTTCCTAAGAAACAAATATAATTGTCTTTACATTTATACCAAAACTCAAATCCATTGCCCTTATGAAGACGCTGGCTCATAGCAACCGTACAGACAGAGCAGAACTGTTCCATGGGGTTCTGGGACTAGAAACCTTTACAGGAGCAGACTGCCACAGCCTTCTCCTGCCGAGCAGCCAGGGGGTTTGAACTGCTGACTTTATAGTTAGCAGTCCAGCACTTAGTGCACTGTACCAGAGTCTTTGGGAAAAGCTATGGGAGAGCAGGTGAACTGGGTTGATGCAATGGAACAAGCAGAATGAAATAATGAGAACACTCAGTGTGCAGAATGTGAGCGATGTCCCTGAATGATGTCTGTAGAAATGAATGAACGGGGAACCTGGACTGTGTAAATCTCCACTGAAAACACAATAAAATACTATTTGGAAAAAAGAAAAAGGTATGGGATATCAATAATAAAAGCCATTTCCTTTCCTAAATATTCTACAGTCTCAAAATGATCATTCTATTCTAAACACACAGGAGTAAATAACCAAACATCTATATGGGTAAGCATCCACAGTGAACATCTTGTTCTCCAGGTCTCTTCTCTTTCAAACTTTTGCTCTTGTAACATCAGACAGAGACAATTTGATTACGTGAACAAGAGCATCGTGGTTTGGGAATGGCAGGGATGGAGATGAGTGGGTGCAGCCGTCAGAGCGAACGGTCTGGCCAACTCAGAGACCACAGGTCCTGCTTATAGAACAACCCACAACACGCAGTCAGGGGGCCACGGCAGATACTAACAACACTCCAATTTGTACAACAGAAAGAACGCAATACTCACCTTCGCTCCAGGAAGTACTTCATTCTGTTTCAACGTGAGACTCAATTCCAATCTACCAACCAACCCTCCAATCTGCACGGGGTCAGAAGGAGCGACCTCAGGTAAATGTCTACTTAGCTGTGGGTGTGGTTCATAAACAATTTTGGGGTTCCAGCTAGGTGACAGCTTTGGCTCAGTTTCCTACAATAAGAAAACAGGGATAAAGAAATTATTTTCAATACCTCAATGCCAATACATCTAAACATAAGATGTAAATGTCAACTCAATAAGAATAAAGCACATGACTCATAAAACTCCATGACACTACCAGAGACAGACGGTCTTGTTACCAGTGTTCTTCTGAAAGGGGTCACCTTAGAAGGTCCTGGATACCGTGTGAGAAAGGAACTCACCCCGTGGTCTCGTGTTCTGAGGGAATAGTAACACTAACAAGTGCATGCCTTGAATTACCAACCATTTTAGAGCAGAAGAGCAGCAGTAAGCCAAGGTCAAAGTTCAGAAGGGTTAGGAAAGGAAGAGGAATGGACCCCGGGAGACAGGCAGAGGGCAGGGGATGAAGCACTCAGTGAGATGAGATGGAGTGGCTGCATTGTCGAATAGCACGCCAAAGGTCGCCTCTGTAAGACTTCACCAATTTACACTAAAAACGTCACAAAATCAAACAAACAGTGTCTTTTTGTTGTTGTGAATTGAGTGAAAGTTTACAGGGCAGATCATCAGTTTCACATTCAACAAATCATACACCTTGCTTCATTACAGTAATTATAATCCCCTCCATGTACCATCAGTTAACAGTATTTCTCTCTATTCACTTTAGCTCTTTTTTTAAAAAAAAAAACTACAAGAACAACACTCAGGCTTATACAATAATTTACATCACCAAAGGGCACATTCTGCAAGTCGGCCTCCTGGCCATCATCTCTCAGTCCCTCTCTTCCCATGAATCTAGAGTCCTCAGCTGCTCCCCCTCTCCATGTCCCCATCATTGGTGTTACTGCTTCTCTGGATAAGGTCCCGCATTCTGCTTGTGCTCTTCACCCTTGATGGTCCTAGGGTCCTTTGGATTTGGACTGTAAGATTAACTACATCCCCATTTTTGTTACAAAACTTGTACCTTTACAACTGCAACAGTCACAATTTGTCATGATAACAATTACTCACTATTGAATCCTAAGAGTCTTATCCCTGTATCTTCTTACCAGACCCATTTAGACAAGATGAAAACTATTCAATGGGGACTCTTTCTTCCCCTACACACTATTAAACTAAACTCCCCCTTGAAACCTTGTAAGCCAGTCACTTCGTGCCTTTATTGCCCCCTCATCTTAGGTAGCCAAAGTCTAAGTTGCCCATCCCCAAACCAGTATCTTACGATCAGCATGAAGCACAGTAGTATATTAGTGATGCGTACGTAACGAAGGCAAACCATGGAAAAGGCTTTCATGAAGGAAGCACAGTAGTCTGAAGTTAGAGCTGTAAGAACACCAGCTTTGTACCAGTCTGCTGTAGTGTGATTTGTTAAATAGCACTAGAGGCAAGCCAGGGAGCTGGTGCCCCTGGATACGATCAGCAGAGTTCTTTGCTTAGAAACCTCTTTGGAGACGGGATTCAGGAGCTACATTTTCAGTGACACGGCAAGGATGTCAGCACATGTGGGCACACTGCTGGACTTCAGTTTTATCCTGTCACAGACGATCAGACGTTAAAGAACCGCTGGCCCTCCTGATATATGTAATATCGCTATCAAGCAGCTAAGGAGCTCTGGTAGTGAAGCGGTTATGAATCGGGCTGCTAACCTTGAGGTCAGCAGTTTGAAACTACCAGCCATTCTGCAGGACAAAGATGAGGCTTTCTGCTCCGGTAGAGATTTATAGCCTCAGAAACCCCTCGCAGAGTTGCTATGAGTTGAAGCTGACACCACGGCACACCACCACCACCAGCACCAAGCAGCTGGTAGACAAGGCTTTACCAACTCTGAAATACATGTGCCCATTACTGAACAACTGTGTTCGCCTAGTCTCCTGGAGCTTCACAAGATTCTGTAACTTCACCTCCAGGGTTTTCGTGTATTTGTTTTTCTTACCACTGGTGTGGTTGAACACACTGGGGATGATTTTGCTGATGCGGAAAACTCATCCCAGAAGAGCGACACCCCAGAGAGTTGCAGGAGCTTGTGAGCAAACGCTGTGGGCTGGTGCACGTTCACTCCTGAGGTCTCGTCAGCAGTCTCGTCACAGTATACAGTTCTGAAAGTTAAAAACAAACAGAAAAGCCATTGCACAAAACTTCTAGGAAAATCTACTTCAGTGATGAAATACACTGCGTTTTAAATTAAAGAGATTTTCCAAGGTTGTTGTAGACGCTGCGAAGTGCCTTAGAGTCAGTTCCAGCTCACAGTGGCCCTGTAGAGTGTCTGAGGCTGTACATCTTGGTGGGAGCAGAAAGTCCCATCCTTCCCCGATGGAGGGTGGCTGGTAGACTTCAACTGCTGACCTTCTGCTTCACAGTTCAGTGCTTATCATACAAAGCCACCACACACCCCTTTCAAGCACCCTTAGGACATGGTTTTAATAGGGGTCTGCATTAGTAGTAGCCTTTACCACAGGATATATTTTCATGAAAAAACCTTATCCCCCGCAAAAGATAACTTTAGGAAGCTACCAGTTTGGGGGAAATGAGTAACCTCCTACAGTAGGCTCCAAGAGGAACGACCCCTGCAGTAGTGGGTAGATCATGGCTCCAAGCCTTGCCCCTGACCCAATGACATCGCTTGTATTCTTAGGCTTGCCTCTTCTTCCTCCAAGTACAGAGTGTGGTTGTAGCTGCATGAGACTGCAGATACGTTTGTAACCATTTAAGGCCATGCTCCCTAATGTCAAACATCTGTCCCAGTAACTGATCACTAACAGGAAGTTTTATTTAAAAACAAAGAAAATAGAAATGGATTCATGTTTCAAAACTTAGCTGCTTAAAATTTGAATCAGGACCCCTGTAGATGCACAGGCAAAGAGCCTTTGATGCTCAGTGCACCCACTGCCTTCTGGTTATTTTGGGGGCAATTCATGTAGCATGGAGACCCAGGTGAACAGCACCCATTGTAAACCAACACTCGCGTGTGGATGGAAGTCCACCCACTTTAGTGATGTTTTTAGGTGCGCTAAGTGGGCACGCACAGAAAACTAAAAGCTAAGTGTTTATGGCTTTTTAGGTAAATCCCATATTGCATGTATTAACCTTCAAATACACTCACAAAGTCTTCAAATGAAGCAGGGCCTTAGCCTTTCTCCCCGGAGCCACCGTGAGATTGCGCACTGCCCAGCAGACCCGCCTCCCAGGCCAGGGCAGGAGTTCCAACTCTCCAGCAGGAGAGCGCTCACATTGTGAATGATGTGAACTAAGAAAGCATTCCTTGCTTTGAATTGGATGCAGTTAACTCTGAATTATACCCAACCGGCACTTCAAGTTTCCAGGCATGGGACTGGACCATGGTGTGGAAAGCAGCCCTTTACTCTGGAATCACACATTCACTACACATCATCACTGTTCATCTCGGAGAGCACCCCGAAATCCAACACACAGAGTTTACTATCATCCAAGAAAACAGCAGTTATATGTTTCCTCATAGAACAGATCTTACCTTTCGATCCGAATTTCAAGTGCAGTTCCAGTTTTAGAATGTTCTGGTACGTGTTCAATTCTCAAAACAGTGTCTATAAAAGTGACTTTTACTCTTCTTAGTACTGGAGGAGACAGACCATAGCCAACATATATTAACAAAAACCTCTAATTAATGTGATAAACACTACATTAGTTTGAGAAGAACTTTAGGAAAAGAGAAAGCTGAATTTCTTTCCTTTAAAATCCCCCCACATCCTAAGTTTCATAATCAGTATTTTGCATTACTGAACACTTATGCTACATCTTGACAGACGCTGAGGCATTAGCTAAACCATCTAGGAATTCAAAATCACTTCGATGGGTCTGCCTTAATTCAAGGCACACTAAATAAAGGCATCTCCAGCAAATAAAAAAAAAAATGGGAAATGCTCAGTAGTACCAAACCTGTTTCGATGGTTTCTGCAAACTTTTCCAGTCCTTCAAATGGCTGGGTTCCTTCTCCTTGTTCATCTGTTAACTTCTGGCTAAGACATTCTTTTGCCAATTGCATACTGCTAGTCATAAAACTTGACCAGTACATAGGCTCAGAACCAGTTGCTGCAGAAAAGAAAGATTGATCCTAAATGGCTTCTCAGAGTTACAACAAAGACATTTCTTAAAAGAATACATTTCAAATAGAAGTTGTTAACTTCCTGATGTTCCTAGAGGATGCAATACTGCAGAAGGGACTCTTGAGAAAGCAGTATCACCTCTGAATTACAAGTGGGGGGTGATTAAAAGCACCAGATCAAATGAAACAGTCCAAAGTCACCTGCTCACATTACATGTTACATTTCTGCCAGATACTGCCTCCTGTATCAATTCCACCAGTGTGGGATGGAGAGCCTCCCTGCGCCGGGCGCTGCTGTAAACACTGGAAGACCGGGATCAGCAAACGTCTATGTAAAGGGTCAGCTAGGTCACACGGTCTCAATAAAGGCACCCTGGTGGCAAAGTGGTTTAAGTGTCGGGCTGCTGACACTCCTGTAAAGACCACAGGAGCGGTCCTAGTCCATCCTGGAGGGTCACGACAACTGAGAATTGACTCCATGACAAGGGCACTGCTTTGGTTTGTGGTTTCTGTCACAACTATTTAACTCTATCATTGTGACGTAAGAACAATCAGACACAAGTCACAAGTACATAACCAAAAGAGCATGGCTGTGTTCACATAAAACTTTATTTACAAATAGGGGGCAGACTGTATTTAGCCTGTAGATCACAATTTGCTGAGCCAGTATACTACATCCTCGTTATGCGCTGTTGAGTTGGTTCTTACCACAGCGACCCTCTACCTAACAGAAGGACACTGTGCTGTCCTGGGCCATCCTCACAACACTTGTGACGTTGGAGCCCATGGCTGTTGTCACTGCGTCAATCCATCTCGTTGGGAGTCTCCCTCTTTATCGCTGCCCTCTACTTTACCAAGCATGACGTCCTTCTCCAGGAACTGGTGCCCCAATGATGCCAAAAAAACAAGAGCAGAAATCTCGCCATCCTCACTTCTAAGGCGCACTGTGGTCGTACTTCTTCCAAGACAGATTTATTTATTCTTCCGGCAGACCGTGGCACTCTTTTTCTTTTCTTAACTTTTTATTGTGAATTCAGTGAAGGCCACCAGATCATCAGCTTTACAGTCAACAAATCACATACTTTGTTTCATCTCAATGATTGCAATCCCCTCCATGCAACAACAGTGATCCCGCTTCCTCCCTGTGCTTCCTGTTTGCATTCCACCACCTTCCTATCCTTGCTCAACTTTGTCCTTAGGAAAATGTTGCTCTTTTGAATTTGAATGATCAACTGTTCCATGGTGAGCACATCTTGCTAGCGTTGTTGTCCGCCCTATAAACCATCTACTGCTTGGTGGAAAATTGGTCCATGAGGGTGAGTTCCTTTCTAGACCTTTCTGATTAGTAAATCCAGTCTTTTTTTAAAATTTACTAAATAATTATGAGTTTTGTCCCACATTTTCTCCCACTCTATCCGGGACCCTCTAATGTGATCCCTTTCAGGGCAGTTGGTAGTGGCAGCCAGGCACCATCTAGTTCTTCTGGTCTCAGAGTTATGAAGACTGATGTTCACATGTTCTATTAGTCCACTGAATGAACTGAATCCAAGCCTCTTCAATTCTTATCACTCCTCTTTTTTTTTTTGCACATGAGAGACCAATAGCTTCACCTTAGATGGCCGCTCATGAGCTTTCAAGATCTCAGACACTATTCAACCAATCAGCACACAAAACACTGTCTTTGTGGACTATGCTATGCCAACTGACCATGCTGGACACTGAGACTAGACCGTGCTAGTCTTTACTCTTTGCCAACACTATAATTTCAATGCACTGAATCTCCTATGGTCTTCCTTATTCACTGACCAGCTTTCAAAGGCATATGTGGCGGCTGAAAATACCATGGTTTGGCTCAGGTCTCACCTTATTCTTCAAAGTGACATCTCTGCTCTGTAATACTTTAAAGAGGTCTTTTGCAGCAGATTTGCTCAGTGCCATATGTTTCATTTCTTGACCGCTGCTTCCATGTGTGTTGACTGTGGGCCCAAGTAAAATGAAGTCTTTGACAACACCAATCTTTTCCCCATTTTTCATGATATTATTTATTGACCCAGTTGTGAGGATTTTGTTTTCTTTACATTGAGGTGCAATCCATACTGAAGGATGTTGACTTTGATCTTCATCAGTAAATATTTCAAGTCCTCTTTGCTTCCCCCAAGCCAGGTTGTGTCATGTGCATGTCACAGCTTCTTAATGAGTCTTCCTCCCATCCTGATGCCATGGTCCTTCATATAATTTGGTTTCTCAAATTACGTGCTCAGCATACAGAGCTTCTGGTGTGGTGCTGTAAGATCAGCACTGGACTGTGAACCACAAAGTTGGGAGTTCAAACCTACCAGCTGCTCCTTGGAAACCCTGTATGAGTTGGAACCGACTCAACAGCACTTAACAACAACAAAAGACTGAATCAGCAAGATGCAAGCCTACAACCCTGGCACACAGCTTTTTCTGATTTTAAACCATTCAATATCCCCTTGTTCTGTTCGAACTGCCTGTTGGTCTGTGTACAGATGAGCACAATTATGCATTCTAGAAAACCCATTCTTTGCAATGTTAGCCACAGTTTGTTATGATCCATAGTCTAATGCCTTCTAATGTCTATAAAGCACAAGTAAACAACACCTTTTTGGTATTTCTCTGCTTTCAGCCCAGACCTATCTGACATCAGCAATGATATCCCCCATTTTACATCCTCTTCAGAATCCAGCTTGAATTTCTGGCAGCAACTTGTCAATGTACTGCTGCAACCAGTTTTGAATTGTCTTCAGTAAGATTTTACTTGCATGTGATATAATGATATTGTTTGCTAATTCTGGCAATCCACTGAGCTACTTTTCTTTGGATTGGGCACAAATATGGATCTCTTCTAATCGGCTGGCCAGGTAGCTTTCATCCAAATTTCTTGGCGCAGACCAGTGAGCACCTGCTGATGCAATACTGCATCAATCTGCTGAGACATTTCAATTTGTATCCTGTCGACTGCGGCCTTGTTTTATACCAGCGTCTTCAGTGCAGCTTGGAGTGCTTCCTTCAACACAATCAATTCTTGACCATATGCTACTTCCTGAAATGGCTGAACAGTCATCCGCTCTTTTTGTATAGTGACTGCGTAGTCCATCTTCTTTGATTTCATTATAATACCTGACTCTGTGTTCTCAAGTTGCCGTTTGAAAATTGCTGTTCAGCTCTTCTGCCGCTACATTACTTCCATTTGCTTTAGCATCTCTATGCTGGAGAGCAAGTTCAGAGTCTCTTCTGACCTCCATTTTGGTCTTTTACTTGTTTCTTGTCTTCTTAGTGCCCTTTTGCTTTCTTACCATATGATGCTCTTGATGTCATACTACAACTCTTGTTTTCAGTCATTAGTGTCCAATGCATACAATCTGTTCTTGAGATGATCTTCAAATTCATGTGGGATATGTTCAAAGTCATATTTTGGCTCTTATGAACTTGTTTTAATTTTCTCCAGCTTCAGCCTGAAATTGCACATGAGCAATTGATGGTCTATTCCACAGTCTGCCATGGGCCTTGTTTTGAGCTTCTCCATTGTTTCTTCCCACAATGTAGTCTATTTGATTCCAGGCTGGGTATTCGATATGGAGACTATGTCTACAGTTGCCATTTATGATGATGAAAAAGGCATTTGCAATGAGTAAGTCATTGGTGTTGAAAAATTCTATCATGCAATCCCAAGCACGATTTCTATCTCTAAGGTCATATTTTCCAACTATCTACCCTTCCTCTGTTTCCAACTTTTGCATTCCAATTGCCAGTAATTATCAATGCATTTTGATAACATATTTGATCAATTTCAGAATGTAAAAGTTGGTTGTTGTCGTTGTTATGTGCCGTGGCGTCGGTTCCAACTCATAGCGACCCTGTACAGGGTTTCTGAGGCTGTAAATCTTTATGGGAGCAGAAAGCCTCATCTTTCTCGTGCAGAACAGCTGGTAGTTTCGAACTGCTGACCATGAAATTAGCAGCCCGATTCATAACCACTACGCTGCAAAAGCTCCTTAGAAGTCTTCAATTTCATCATCACTGCATTTAGTAGTTGGTGGGTAAGTCTGAATGGCAGTGATATTAACTGATCTTCCTTGCTGGCCTATGGATACTCTCCTATCACAGAAAGCTCTGTACTTCAAGATCGATCCTGAAATGCTCTTTTGAGCTCGACTGCAACGCCATTTCTTTTCAACCATGTTGTTGTTGTCAGGTGCCATCAAGTCGGTTCCAACCCATAGTGACACTGCACAGTCCTGTGCCATCCTCAGAAATGCTGCTACACTTGAGCCCATTGTTGCGGCCACTGTGCCACTCCATTTTACTAAGCAGGGACTGGTCCCTCCTACTAACACGTCCAGAGTATGCGAGATGAAGTCTCACCGTCCTGGCTTTAAGGAGCACTCTGGCTGGACTTCTTCCAACACAGATTGGTTTGTTCTGCTGGGAAGTCCCTGGGACTCTCAAACTTCTCCAGCAACACCATAACTCCAGCAACTGCATCAGTTCCTCTACGGTCTTCTTTCTTGCCTGTCCAACTTGTATGTGCACATGAGCTTACTGAAAATACCACAGCTTGGGGCAGGCTCAAGAATCGGGACCATTCCCTTGGCCCTTCAGTCTCTTTCCTGATGGTGTTGGCAGAATTCCCTGGATTTTGTGTTTACTGACGGCTCTCTAAGGATTTGACTGGAATCCTGGAAGAGCACACAATCATCTACAATGGGTCTGACCAGGGGACACAGGGTGTTGGTCTGAGTTCTGATCACCGTTTGCGACAGTGACTCCCAGACTGCCCCGCAATACAGGAGCCTGGTTCTCCTCTTGGTGACTGTGAGTGACCTGACCGGGACACACAGGCAGGCCTCCCTCAGTGCGACGCATCCCTTCCTGTACTGTTTTGTAAATTGAAGGGTTGTGCTCCCAGCACCTTTTCCAACTGCATGTCCTCCGTCCGTGTGTCGGTATCAGAGTTCAGTCATCCTCACCACAGTGCACACACACAGACCCTGTAGGGGCACCGGGAACCCCAAGCTTGGTGCAACTTGATAGCACTTTGCTGCAGCGGTCTAGGCCTGAGCACGCAGTTACAGTGGGCCCCAAAAAGTCTGCTGAAAAGTTTCGTGCTCTTTTATTCCACTTTTCCACCAATGGTTTGAAGCCCCCCTGTATCTTTGGGGTGTGCGTGGACTTGGCTGCTGTCTGAAACGGCCAGGTGGCACTTCATCCACTGAGAGCTCGGGCCTGTGCTCACATGCACCACAATGGCTGAAGGCTCGCTGCTTCTTCCTGCTTTCACAAGAAGATGCTCTGCTGGGGTGGAGGGCTTCCCCGCCCACCCCCTGCACATGTACTGACTTCTGTCAACACGGACTTGTTGTTGATAGGTTTCATCGAGTTGGTACCGACCCATAGCGACCTTATGCTAGGAGTTTTTTAATGTGCTATATCTATTATTGTCTTTCTTTTCGATGCTCAGATTGTCCAAGTTGGCCAAAGGGAGTCCTTCGAGTCTCAACCTTTGCCCTTTGAGCATTTCTCTGTCCCAATTCCAGTACTTCCTTGCATCCTGGCACAATGCTTTGAATCTTTACAACACACGTCACTTTAGAGAATTGGTAACTATAACTGAGTAAAGTTGAGAATCAACATGCTTAAGTTCCCTTCTCATGAGTAAACAGTGAAAGGAACAATCACGTACACCCTATACTGGCCTAAGTCCTCAAGTTTTATCAGTTGAAATTTCACAATTATGGTGCAATCAAACATGGACGTTATTCCCACTCTCAGAAAAATACAAACAGAAACTAGTAGAAACACATCCAAGCCCACGGACGATGCTTACCTAGGCGAGGTCTGGGCCGGAATACCATCTCCAAGCCCCTCACTTCCAGGGCACAATTCTCCTGCAGCAGGGAGCCCCAGGGCACCGACAGAGAGATGGACTGAATGAAGCCTTCAGTGACTTCCAGAGGGGCATCTGCTGATTCCAGGATATCATTGAGACACTGCAGAGAGACACCAAGGCCATCGTGAACCCACACCATAGGAACAGGGTAGGTAGGTCTTCATGGGTACCAGGGGTCACAAGAGTCAAGACCAAGATAAGGGTGACCCCGGTCTTCACTCAGCTGATGGGACAGGCCAGAAGGCCAGAGAAGCAACGTGAAGTGATAAAGCTGTGCTGAGCTTTGTGAGCTCCTGAGATTGTCTGGGGAGTAGGTCCCCAGAGCAGGGCTCTCGAGGCTGAGCCCAGACGCTGAGCAGGCAGAGCCCAGGGCTTGTGGAAGGACTCAGTGAGTGAGCACATTAGAGACCCTCAGGCTAACGTCAGTGTGAGGCTAGAGGGTCTAAGCCCACTGCTAACATGTCCACTGGGACTGCTACTAACAGTGTAGGATCCTGAAGCGCTATTCTCGAGGTTTCTCAACGAAGCAGACAGTCACATCTTTCTCCTGCGGAACAGCTGGTGAGTCTGAACTGCCAACCTTCTAGTTAGCAGCCCAACACTTAACCCACTGTGCCACCAGGGCTCCTAATTAATCTTGGAATCCAAAGTTTATCTCGAGGCACTGTGAAACCACTGACGGTTTTAAACAAGGGGCCCAGGGTGAGGTTTGGACTTTTAATGCAGGTCCTGTTACAAAAAGCAATGCTCAAGAGAGGAAAGCTATGATGAATTGACGCTGGAGGGATTGGTTTGGACAGGGGGCACAGGGGGCAGTTACAAATGGACAGGTTTCTGTGAAATGTTTAGGAAGTAGAATTAGGTGGTATCATGAGGCAGAAAGAAAGAAAGGGCTGAGGAACGACACCTGGGTTTCCGACCTGGACACGTGTGAGGACAGTGGTACTCTTCACTGGACAGAAAATCATGGAGAAGGAGTTTAGAGGGACAATCATGAGCTCGGGAGGAGACACCCAGTAGAGATGTCCAGGGAATGCCTGGACGCCCTGGCCCTAAGCTCAGAAGAGTCGTCTGTGCTAGTGCTGCAGGTAGACAAGGGGCATTGAGGTTGCAAGGCCGGGAAAGATGCACGTTGAGAACTTGGGTTGTCGTCAGATGTTCTCAGCCAGCTCTGACTCATAGGCACCCTCCAGACAACAGAAGCCAGCCCTACCCAGCCTTGCGCTATCCTCACAGTCAGTCCTCCATTCAAGCCCATCGATGCAGCCACTGAGTCAGTCCATTCTGTTGAGAGGCTTCTTTTCAGCATGATGTCCTTCTCCAAGGTCTGGTCCCTCCTGGTGATGTGTCCAAAGTACACATCCTCGCTTCCAAGGAACATTCTGCCTTCTTCCAACACAGATCTGTTGGTTCTCCTGGCAGTCCGTGGCACTCCAATCTTCTTTGCCAATACCATCATCCACAAGCATTGATTATTCTCAGGTTTTCTGAATTCATTGCCCAACTTTTGCAAGCACATGAGGTGACTGAAAATACCACAGCTTGGGTAGGGCACACCTTAGTCTTCAAAGCAACATTGTTGTTTTTTAGCCTTTAAAGAGCTCTTTTGCAGCAGGTCTGCCCAAAGCAAAATGTCATTTCATTCCCTGACTGCTGCTTCCATGGCATTGATTGTTGATCCAAGTAAAATTAATTCCTTGACAATGTCCATTTTTTTCCCTTGTATTATGATGTTGTTTGGCCCAGTTGTGAGAATTTTGTCTTCTTCATGTTGAGGTGTAACCCATACATGAAGGCCAGTATTTGATCTTCATCAGTAAGTACTTCAAGTTCCCTTTACTTGTAGTATACAAGGTTGTATCATCTGTGTAGCACAGGTTGTTAATGAACCTTCTTGCACTCCTAATGCTGCGTTCTTCTTACAGCCCAGAATGAATATGGGGAAAGTTTACGACTCTGCTGCTCACTTTTATTATTTTCCAAAGGAACCCTGGTGGCAAGGTGGGTTAAACATTGGACTGCTAACTGTCAAGGTGGTAGGGCAAACGTATACGTTGCTTCACAGGAGAAAGATGAGGCTGTCTGCTCCTGTCAACATTTCTAGTCTCAGAAACACAAAGAAGCAGTTCTACTGTTTGTTGTTGTTGTTGTCAGGTGTCATCAAGTCGGTACCGACTCACAGCGACCTTATGCACAGCAGAACGAAACACTTCCCAGTCCTGGGCCAACCTCACTACTGTTGCCATACTTGAGCCCATCTATGCTGCCACTTGGCCAATCTATCCTGCTGGAGGTCTTCCTCTTTCTCTCTGACCCTCCACCTTACCAAACATGATATCCTTCTCCAGTGACTGGTCCCTCCTAACAATATGTCCAAAGTACGAAGAGACCAAGTTTGGTCATCTTGGCCTCTGAGGAGCACTCTGGCTACACTTCTTCCAAAACGGATCTATTGGTTCTTTTGGCAGCCCATGGCACTTTCAGTATTCTCCTCCAACACCACAATTCAAAAGCATCCACTATTCTACAGTCTTCCTTATTCACTGTCCAACTTTCCCATGCATATGAGGCTATTGAAAATACCATGGCTTGGGTCAGGAGCACCTTAGTCCTCAAGCTGACATCTTTGCTCTTCAGTGTGTTTATAAAACCAAACCCACTGTTGTCAAGTTAATTCCAACTTGTAATAACCCTAAAGAGAAGAACTTGCTCCTTCCAGCTTCTAAGGCTGTATATCTTTGTGGAGGCAGACTGTCCCTTCTTTCTCCTGTGGAATGACTGGGGAGTTTCAACCTCCAATCTTTTCAGTTAGCAGTCAGGCCTCCCTTATTTACTATGAACACCAAACCAAACACACTGACTTCAAGTCAATTCCAACTCACACCAACATGCAGGACTGAGAAGAAGATCCCCAAGACTCAGGTGCACATAGCCACAGTGTTGTCTGAGCAGTGGGTGGGCTCGAACCGCAGACTTTTTAGATAGCAGCTGTGGTCTCACCACCTGTGTGTCACTGGGATTCCTTCTACTATACTAGGTTGTTGTTATTGTTTAAGTGCTTTCGAGTCAGTTCAGACTAATTGTGACCCTGTATAGGGTAGGTAGCATAGTGGTTACGAATCGGGCTGCGAACCTAAAGGTCAGCGGTTCGAAACTATCAGCTGCTCCGCGGGAGAAAGATGAGGCTTTCTACTCCCGTAAGGATTTACACCCTCGGAAACCCTGTACAGGGTCGCTATGGGTCGGAACCGACTCGACGGCACGTAACAACAACAACAACATAGGGTAGCTGAAGAGCAGCTGGTGGGTTTGAACTGCCAACCATGGCGAGCAGTCCAGTGCTTATCTTGTAGTGATCACCAGGACTCCATATATTATATTGTTGTTGTTCAGTACCTTCAAGTCAGTTCTGACTCATAGCAACCCTGTGCAGGGTTTCCATGGAGTAAGTGACTGAGGGGTTTGAACTGCCAAATTTGCTGAACTTGTAGTCCAACAACCCAATGCTTATCCTACAGCGCGGTACCAGGACTCCATATTTTACTGGTATATAATAAATAACAAAGTTATCTTCAAGAAACAATTCTTTGCCAACTGCTGTAGTATATGGAGGACTCCTGGTGTGGTGTTGTAGGATCAGCACTGAACTGCAAACAGCAAGATTGGCAGTTCAAACCCGCCAACTACTCCTTGGAAACCCTATATAAGGTCACTATGAGTTGGAACCAACTTGAAGACACTTAACAAAAACAACAATCTACGGAATCCTGGTGTGGTACTGTAGAATAAGCACTGGACTACTAATTACAAGATCGGCAGTTCAAATCCACCAGCTGCTCCTCAGAAAATCCATCCAGGGTCACTATGAGTTAGAAGCAACCTAACGGTACTTAACAACAGCAAAGTGTGAGTAGCAAAGCAATGTTGTTGTTATGTGCCGTCGAGTCGATTCTGACTCATAGCAACCTTACATACAACAGAATGACGCACTGCCTGGCCTTGTGGCATCTCACAATCCTTGTTCATCTGCAGCCCACTGCTGCTGCCACTATGCCAGTCCATCTCGTTGGGGGTCTTTCTATATTTTGTTGACCTTCCATTTTACCCAGCATGATGTCCTCCTCCAAGGATCCGTCCCTCCTAACAATAGGCCCACAGTATGAGAGACAAAGTCTGGTCATCACTGCTTCTAAGGAGCACTCTGGCTGCACTTCTTCCAACACAAACTTGTTTGTTTTTCTGGCAGTCCATGCTACTTTTCAATATTCTTCTCCAAGACTGGAACTCAAAGGCATCAATTCTTCTGTAGTCTTACTTATTATTCACTGTCCAACTTTCACATGCATATGAGGCTATTGAAAATACCATGGCTTGGGTAAGGGGCACCTTAGTCCTCAAGCTGATACCTTTGCTCTTGAACATTTCAATAGATTTCAAATGCTACAGATTTGCCTAATGCAACATATCATTTGAGTTCTTGACTACTGCTTCCATGAGTGTCGCGGGTGGTTCCAAGCAAAACGAAATCATTGACAACTTCAATCTTTGCTCCATTTATACGGATGTTGTTTATCGGTCCAGTGCTGAGGATTTTTGTTTGTTTTTTCACATTGAGGTGCACTCCATACCAAAGGTTGTGGTCGTTGACCTTTATCAGTAAGGTATTTTAAGTCTTCTTCGCTCTCAGCAAGCAAGGCTATACAATCTGAAAATTATATGTTGTTATGAGTCTAACTGATCCTGATGTCATGTTCTTTATATTATCCAGTTTCTTGGATGATTTGCTCAGCAAACTGAATAAGTATGGTGAAAGAATACAACCCTGGTGCACACCTTTCCTGATTTTAAACCATTCACTGTCCTCTTGTTCTATTGGAATGACTGCCTTCTGGTCTATGTATAGGTTCCTCATGAGCACAGTAAAGTGTTCTGGAATACTCATTCTCAGAAATGTGGTCCATAGCTTGTCATGATCCACACAGTTGAAGCCTTTGCCTAGTCAAAAATAGCTGTGCTTTACTGACTATGTAATCAAAGCAAGAGACACAAATGATGAAATTAAAATGAAAACACTTCCCAACAGTTGGCTAGTACCTAGCTTTCTAGACATAATGAAGTCTGTGAGGGAAGGGCCTTTGTCTAGTTCACTTCTTCATCCCCCAGTCTATATAGGGCCCATGCTAAGAGTGTCTTAGCTCAATGAACTTCAAATTAAAATAAAAACAACTAGAGAAAGGCATAGTCTTCAAGAAATTCCTTCTTTCAGCATTTCACTCTTCCAACCACTTCTGTGACAAGGAACTTATGAATCCATAGGACAACCTGTTCCAATTATGGAAGCGACCTTTGCCTCTGTTCCTCCCTCCCAATGTCAGCCCTGCTGAAGGGAGATCATGGTTTCCAAAGTAGGGTGTCTGTGTCCCAGAGGTATAGCCGCTGATCCATAGGATGAAAGAAGACAATGAGATGTTCTACACAGAGCTTTTCATTTCCTTCTTTAAGATGAACAATCGTGCTGACACAGATGGGTACTCGTCCCTCACGCAGTAGACGGGCACAGGGAGAAGACCAGTCATTCCACAGTGAAGAAGTGCTAACAGGGCTGCCCCAGCTGGAGTTTCCATTTCAAAACAATGAGCCTGACTCCCACATACACCCCATAAAAACAGGTCTTGAAACAGTAGACTCTTTATAAAGACACAGGAAGTGACAAGAACAGACATTTACTGGTTTTGCTTATGGTCAAGTATCCAAGAGTTGAATTTCAAGATGTTAACCAGTTTTCTTTTACACAGAGGGAAGACACCTGTATATGGCAACTGGTTCTCTGATGACAAGTGGGTATCTGTAGAAAATGCTACCTAACAGTCATTTTCCAAACAACGAAAGAGATTGTGCTGACCACAGAACTGTGTCCTGAACATTTCTGATCCTGAATGTAACCTTTGAACTTCCCTAACAAACCTCCTCAGTAAGGTCTCAGAGCGGTGTGGCCACTGCAAATGAGTGACCAAACCCAGCTGGGAAGTCGCCAATGCTGTGGGAGGGGCTGCTACGGGAATGGAGGCCGCAGAGTGGAGGCATGTCTGACCTCTTCCTGCCTTGATGAGCCTGATTCTTCTTCCCCTTCAAGAAGTCAGAAGAGGTCAGGTGCCCACCCCATGGCATTTTTAACACTTCAAAGCAAAGAGTCTGAAAAAAAAAAGGTCTAAAGCATAAAGTTGTATAAAAAGAAAAATGCAACGCTGTTCAATTAGCAAGAAAAACTGACTGAGGTCAGCAAAGAGTGGAATGTACTTGTCAGTGCCGACGAAGTCCTGATGGGTGGAGGCTGAGCATGCACCAAGCGGGCACATCTTCCCTTTGGACCGTGTGTCCTTTTAATTATGAAAGTCACTGAAATTGAGTGGCAAAATTAACTGCATTGGGACAACCCTTTGAGCAGCTTTGTCTAAGTAGTAGAGCTCATTTGCTTTAGTTATCCACAGTAACACTTACACCAATCAGTTAGCAAATGGAAGCATTCTATTTCAGTTGACAATACCATTCAGGTTGGGTGTAATCTTCACTTTCAAGGAGAACAAAGTTTACTCCTCACATTGTTGTTGTCGTTAAGTTGCCGTCGAGTTGTTTCCGACTCATAGCAACCCAGTATACGATCTCCAAAGAGCAGCAGATGGGTTTGAATTGCTGACATTTGGTTTGCAACCCAGTGCTGATCCTCACATGAAACCTCATCATATACAGTGTTCTTGAAGTTAAACTAGAAAATGCAGATATGACACCTCTAGTGTCCTGTGGGGATGAAGTCAAACCATGCAAATGAAGAGTTAGCACAGTGCCTGGTGGACGTAGATGCTTACTAAACAAGTCTCCTTCCCTGAGGCTTACTGCTGTGTGGTTGAATGAAGAAGGTCTGGGCTTAGAACCAGACACATCTGGGTTCTCCTGAAACCACTAGCTAGCTGTGTGACTTGGGACACACAGTTTAACTCCACCTGTGGGATGCAAACACTAACACTCCCTCTGAGTTAGTGTCAGATGTCACTAGAGTAATGTACCTACCATCCCTTGACCTACAACAGATATTTATTGACTGTCCAGTCCTCTTCTTTCAAGAGTCTATTCACAACTGTACCAAAAGCACAGAATCGCTGGGCTTTTAATTGGAAAAGAAAAATCTAGTCTGTCTCCTCTGGTGAGGATTGTAACAACACAGGCCCTGCGAGAGCCTGGTGTGGAGTGCACGCTCTACTAATGTTTACGAGACCAAGGTAATTACATTATCCCATGGAGCCTGGGCTAGTCAGTGGTTGTCTGATTGGCTCTTTCTGCTTCTCAAACCAGGGCTCTTCCGATTACCTTATGCACATTCCCTAGTATTAAGTCATGTACCTGTTGCTGGCCCAACTCATAGACAGAGTCAAACTATCCCAAAGGGTTTCCAATACTGTGACTTTATAGAAGCAGACTGCCACATGGGTTTCTCACTGAGTCTTCAAGTTACTGATAAAATTGTAGGCTTAGTTATACTCTCCAACACAAATTAATTTAAAGGTCAGAATACAATGCTAATCATTGGAGCCTTGTTGGTTGCTATGGCTAAGGAATTATTACTCTGTTAAAATACTTCTACATTAAAAAAAAAAAAAAAATTCAGGCTGCTTAAATGAGGAACAACGTTTCCTTTGGTTTTGTACAACGATCACAGGAAAGTCACTTAAGTTTATGATTTTCCTACTTGTCAAGCATAGAAATGTTTTTCCAATGTGAAAATGAGAGACTGGCACAACCAATCCACAAGTTAACCGCAAACTCGGGTGCACTACCTGAAGGTCTGCGACTGAAGCTGGGAAGAGAGAGGGGAACAGCCTCTCTCTCCATTCCTGTCAAATGTTAAGGCTGAACATACTTTAAGTAAAATACTCTGCCTTCAACGCTTGAATACAGGTGTCGTGAGGGGCCACTTAGAATACACACACGAAGCACCTGCAAGACACAACGACGATTAAAAACCAGGTCTCAAAATGTCTGAAATCTGCAGCCTCGGCGCTTTGACAAACCCTGCTCTGACGCGCTGTCGCGTGAGGCTGAAGGCATCGGCGGGGGCCCCACGATCACGCACCGGCGGGGCAGGCACAAGTCCTGACAGGTGGACTGCCCGGCCGTCTCCTCCCTCTTCCCAAGTGGCGAAGGCGAAACAAGGCTGCATCGCCCCCCTCCCCCCAAGTAATGAAGAAATAAACAACGGGGTGGGGGGTTACGACATCCCCTCCCCAAGGCTCTCCTCGGTCGGAGTCATCCCTGAATGTCATCCCACGCGATGGCTGGTGTCTGTCCTCGCTTGCCCGGGGCAGGCCTGGTCATCTCCCCTCCGGACTTGCCCGTCCAGCTGGGTGGACCCCAAAGCCCCGCCGGTCACCGCGGGTAAGTTTGGGGCACACGTGATCGGGGGCAGCAAACTTGCTGGAAGCACTGGACAGCCCTTCCCAGCTCTGGTCGGCGCTCGGCCGCACCGGAATTCACACAGGTCCCGGGGCCGGGCTGGACGTCCCGAGCTCGGGCGACCCCCGTTCGGCCGCAGCCTTACCCATTTGTCCAGGGGAACCTGGGCGAGAGAGCCGGTGCCTTGATACAGGTCCAAGCTGAGCTGCTCCAGGCTCAGCTTCTCCTGCAGGAAGTGGCCCAGGTACCGCTGCAGGAGGTACCGACAGGCCCGCTTCTTGATGGACTCGGAAAACGGCCACGGCATAGTGGGCGCTGGACGCGGGGCCTACGGCCCGGGCGCTGCCTGTCTGCCCGCCGGGGCCCCTGCGCCCCTCAGGACCACCCCATCACGGGGCCGCGCCGCTGCCGGGGGTTTCCGAGGGGTGGTCTTGGGCTCCGAGAGGGCGGCGGCGGGGCGAGGCTGGGCCAGACGGGGGCGCACACCTCCAGGGCCGCCGCGCCACCAATTTGTTGTCATCCGAGTGCGCGCTCTCGGAGGACCCCGGCGCGCTCGCGAGAGCCCGGCTCGGCGCGCGGCCGGCTCCGACGGAAGTGACGCCACACGGGGCGGCCGGAGGCGGGGCGGTGGGCCCGGCGAGCACTTCCGGCCGGGGGCGGGGCGGGGCGGGATGGATGGAGGCGGCGCCGCGGGTCGGCTGCTGACGCCTCCGGAGGGAAGCGCAGGTGAGCGGCTCCGGGGCGCGAGGCGGTCACCAGAGGGGCGCGAGGGCGGCAGGGGACGGCGGGGGACCGGACCAGGTCACTCGGGCTCCCAAGCCCCGGACTTGACGCTCGGGGTGCCCATTGTCAGCAAGTTGGTGGTCCCGCCGGCCGGCCGGCTGTCTGGGCATTGTGTCCCGGCTCTTGTCTGGTAGTTGGTCCCGCGGTGTCCCGCTCCTTCCGGGGTTCCCCGAACCCTCGGGGACACGTCGTATCGTGCCCACCGGTAGGGCTGGAACTGGCTCAGCGGGTGAACCCCGGAAGGCCTGTTGGCCAGCTGCCCGCGATCGCTTCCTGGCCAGCCTCTTCGGACCTCCGTGTCCCCCTCTGGCCAGCGCCACCCCCACACTAGTTCGTCCCCAGGGAACCCTAGGAGTCTGACCAGTCTGATGCTTGTCGTCCACCCCATTCTGACTCATAGCGACCTGATCGGACAAGGACTGACCCAGAGGGTTTCCAAGATGAAATCTTTACGAAGCTGACTGCCACATCTAGCTCTCATACAATGGCTGCTGGTGGATTCGAACCACCGACCTGTCTCCCAGCGAAGTGCTTTACCACTGTGCCATTAGGTCGACTTGTCATCTAATGGCACAAACCCACTGCCAACGAATGGATTACGACACATAGCGACTTTGTGAGTGGAACTGCCCCATTGGGTTTACTGCAGCCAGCTGCCACATCTTTCTCCCACTCACCCACCCACCTTTCAGTTAGCAGGCTAAGGCATAACCCACCATGGCTCCTTGTCTGATACATGCTGTTAAGTGCCATCAAGCTCGTTTGGGCTCATATTAAGCCTGTAGAAAGGAGCTCTGGTAGCATAGTGGTTACAAATCGAGCTGTGAGCCGCAAGGTCAGCAGTTCGAAACTACCAGCTCGTTCCGTGGGAGAAAGATGAGGCTTTCTGCTCCTGTAAAGATTTCCAGCCTCGGAAACCCTGTACAGGGTCGCAATGAGTCGGAATCTACTCCACGGCACATAACAACAACAAGCCTGTAGAGGGTTTCTGAAGAGCAGCTGGTGGGTTTGAACCTCTGACCATGCAGTCCAGTTCAGCACTGCATCAGAACTCCATTGTCTGAAACTGCCTTAAACTGGATGTGGTCATTCATTAGCCTTATTTTGGCAGCTCTTGTGTATCAGACACACACACACACTGGTACATGTTACGTGTCCACAAGTTCATTCCAACTCATAACAGCCCTGTAGAGGGTTGCCAAGGAGCTCCTGGTAGGCTTGAACTTCCAACCTTGTGGTTAGCTTACGCTGCATTGTCACGATTAAGGCTCTTGAATGGAAACATCCAGGTTAAGGAGTTGATGGCTTTATGTTTTGGTTGCTGTTTCGTGGTGATGTCTTAGAAATAATCATAGGGGACAACAGTTGGGATAGAGCTCTCGTTCCCCTTTTCATCCCCACCTTTCAGAGCCAGTGTGCTCTGCACATCCAGATACTTGGGTTGTTGGTGGCCCTTGCTCTTCATAGCCTTGCCCCAATAATCATCCTCAGTTGCTTTGATCCCCTGACTCTTCATTCACAACTGCTCCTCAAGGGTCTTAAATGATAACTGTAAGCAGTGATGTCAGAAAGCTAGAGAAGAGTGAGACTCAGTGCTCAAGTGGTCTCCTCATTTCTTCAGTAAATGTTTTTATTGATTTCCTGCTGCACGCCGAAAGGAGTCCTGGTCTGGCGCTATAGAATAAGCACTGCACTGTACTGTAAGGTTGGTTTGAACCACAAGGTCGGTGGTTCAAATCCCTAGGCGCTCGTTGGAAAGCTTATACAGGGTCACTATGAGTCAGAACTGACTCGACAGCATTCAGCCACAGCAAGTATATGCCAAAGGTCCTTGTGCGGTGCGGTCTGTGTTCAGCTTCTAAACATTGGCTGTTTGCTCCCACCCAGCAGTGCCATGGAAGAAGCTGCTCCCGTATAGGTCGTAGCCAAGAACATCACACGGAGCAGAGCTACTCTAACGCACGGGGTCTTCATGAATTGGAATCAATTTGCTGGTAATGGGTTTGGACTTTGCTGTGTGCCAAAGACTGTTCCAGGTGCTGAAAATACAGCAGCGACTAGAAAAGTCCCTATTGTTTCATGATAGGAAGGAATCTAGACAATAATCAAATAAGTAATAGGCCAGGTGGTGATAAGTGTTGTGGGAGAAAGTAACGGTGTAAATGGGATTGAGATGGGGAGGAGGGTGGCAGAGGAGAACCTCTCAGAAGGGGGCATTGCAGCAGAGACTTGGAAGAACTGGGGCACAGGCCCTGAGAAGTATTGCTTTCCTGGGAGCACATTTGGTGAGTTCAGGGACCTCCAGGAATGGGGGGAAGAGGAGTCAAAGCTCCAGTGAGAGACTGTGGTGGGGGAGATCCAGGGCCTTCTAGGGAACCCTGGTTTGGTGCTGTAGGGTAAGCACTGGACTGCAAACCCACCAGCTGCTCCTCAGAAACCCCATACAAGGTCACTATGAGTCGGAACTGACTTGACAGCACTTACCAACAACAAGGAACCCTAGTGGCTCTGTGATTAAGTGCTCAGCTGCTGATAAATAGACCAGCAGTTTGAAACCACCAGCTGTTCTGTGAGAGAAAGATGTGGCAGTGTGCTCTTAAAGGTTACAGCCTTGAAAACCCTGTGGGGCAGTTCTAATCTGTTCTGTAATGTCCTCATGAGTTGGAATCAACTCGGCGACAATAGGCATCCCCAGCTGCTGCAAATGGGTAGCCAAAAGGTTGGAGGTCTTCGGCCCTTCCTGTGTTAGTTTCTTATATGCTCTGAGTTAACGGATCCTGAGTTATTTTCATGCAGATAGATAGCCAGTTTTGCCAGCCCCCTTTGTTAAAGAGACTATCTCTTCCCCTCATTTAATGGATTTCAGCACTTTGTTGTGCAGTCCTGGTGTGGGCTGTAGGATAAGCACTGGACCAAAAGATGGTTTCAGCTGCAAGGTTGCGGTCCAAACATCCCAGCCACTTAGCAGAAATCCTATCCAGGGTTGCTATGAGTCAAAACCAACTCAATGGCCCTTAGCAAAAACAACAAGCCCTTTGTTGGCCATCAGCTATCCAGCTAAATTGTTTCATTATTCCAGCCTTGTTTGTACCAGTACCAGGTTGTTTTGATTTGCTATGATTGTATAGTAGGTTCTGAGATCAGAAAGTGTAAGGCCTCCTACTTTGTTCTTCTTAAGCAGTGCTTTGCTTATTCAGGGTCTCTTTCCTTTCCATATCTATTTGGTAGCCAGTGTTTCTAGGTCTTGAATGAACATTGATGGACTCTTGGTTGGGATTGAGCTATATCTACAGATCACTTTGGGTAGTGTTGACATCTTTACAATGTTAAGTCTTCCTATCCATGAGGGTCTTATGTTCTTCCATTCTTCCATTTTATGTAGGTCTCTTTTTATGTGTTTGTGTTTTATTGTGAATTATGTGCTAGCTTACAAGGGAGAGTATTAGTTTTACATTCATCCTATGCATCAGCAAGCCTGCTCCCCCCACCCCCCCCAGTTGTCAGCACACAGCCCCTCTCCCTCTCTGTGTCTGAAGTCCCCAGCTGCTCCATCTCTCCATGTCATCGTCTCTGCCGCCATCTCTGGCGTCACTGCTTCTCTGGGTAGGGTCCTGCTCTCGGCTCTTCTCCCTTGATGGTCCCAGGGACCTCCGCTCTTGGACTGCAAAGTTAATCACTCCCCTCCTTGCTATAAAATGTCTCTACCTTTACATTTCCAACCCCCACAAGCAGTCCTGACAACAATTATTCACT